GGCTATCCATCCCAATAGGACTGCAAGCTGAGCCCCTGTACACCTCCTGTTCATCCTTCCATGCATAACAGACCCTATTCCACTCAGTCCTACACCAGCCAAAGACAGAAAAGATGTTCATCTTACGCCCTGGAGATGCCCCTGGGACAGCTCTTATCCACCACATTCTTCAGAGGCTCACGGATACTCTGGGCAAACATTGGGTCATTTGGGAAGAGAATCTGAGTGTTGGGACAGGTCCAGTCAAAGTTGCTGTCATCCAGCTCTGTGTACTCTGTGGTCTACAGGGAAAGACACAGGTTAGTAACAGTGCATGAAAGGAAGACAATCCACAGAGACCTGTCCTGAGGTAATTGTGTTCTCAGGACATGCAGCAGCTGTGGGTGAGGAAGAGAATCAGAGAATCAACCAGGTTGGAAAAACCTCCAAGATCATCCAGTCCAACCCTCCCGTGGTCACTAGCCCATGGCACCAAGTGCCACATCCAGTCTCAGCTTGAAAACCTCCAGGGATGGGGAATCCACCACCTCCCTGGGCAGCACATTCCAATGCCTGAGCACTCTCTCCCTAAAAAATCTCTTCCTAAGATCCAACCTAACCCTCCCCTGGCAGAGCTTGAGTCTGTGCCCTCTTGTCCTGCTGCTGTTGCCTGGGAGCAGAGACCAACCCCCACCTGACTCCAACCTCCTGTCAGGGAGTTGCAGAGGGTGAGAAGGTCTCCCCTGAGCCTCCTCTTCTCCAGGCTGAACACCCCCAGCTCCCTCAGCCTCTCCTCATGGCACCTGTGCTCAAGAAGAACCAGAGCACTACAATCCCTTTTGAGGAAGGGATAAATACAACTCCCATCCCAATTTGGAGTTGACTAACTGTAATTTACTAATTGCAGATATGGTTTCATCTGCTATGGCCTTGACTCCCAGTGACCAGCTGCAGCCTTAGGTCATTCTGCTCTGTGTGACTGAAAAAGGTCACATCTTGTCCTAGGCACAAGAGTCTCCTCCTCAGGAGCCACACAGCGAGCCTGAACGGGCAGGGATGAGTCTATACAGAACTCAAACAACTTCTGTTTTCAGGAAAAGATGACAGTTACCATTTGCACAGATTGCTGCTCTGTTAGCATGTGAAACCATGTGCAACATGTGTGGTGGTTTGCAGCCACACTTAGCCTGTCCTTACCTTTGCAAACAGCTGGTTAGATAACCAGCCAATTAATGCTCTCACCCATAAAAATTAACAGAGGATTTCTCTGCCTGAAAAAAACCAAACCCTTCTGTTTGCAACAGATTAGCTAATTAAAAATCAAGTATTTAAAGGCTGCTTAAAACACGAGGCCTACAGGGCTGTTAGTTTACAGGAAGGGTAAGACATGACCTTTCCTGTTTATGGGAACAAACACAAACAGGATGTTGGGTTGATACTACCAACTCTCACAGAGTTTGTCTGAACAACTGTGCTGCTGTTAAAAATAATCTACACATTCCATTCATACTGATCAATGTTTTTCCCCCATCAGATAAAATCCCATAAAAGAGAAACACACCCAACTTTAGCTTTTTAGACAACTCACACCATTTTCAATGGATTTTTTTTCTTACTTGTGTTGTGCCCATTAGCAGCTTGGACTTAAAGAGGCTAAGAAAACTGTATTTGAATCAATCATTTTCTCTGTGTTCTTTATTGGCCTTTTATTAATACTTGCAGTTCTCAAGAGAGGGGACTCAGCTGTGTGAGTCTCACAAGTCTCCAGTTCTCATACTGGGGAGAAAACATCCTGCCTGGCTCACATCTCCTGCCTGTCTCCCAAGTCTCCAATGCTCATACTGGGGACAGGAGTGGTAAAAAATGCTCCTTCAGACCCTGCAGAAAACTCCTTGCTTAGTTTAACCTCCATTTTCAAAACTCACAGACAAAGGAAGATAAATTCTCAGGGAAAGAACATTTCAAAGAGGCTATGGGATCTCCACCATGAAGGAACAGGACAAACCAACCCCATGACCTGTTTAATAATTACTGATGTTCAACAAGAAGATCAAACAATTAAAGATTTGCCACTGCCTGATGTCAGAGTCCATAACAGGCTGCCCAGGGAGGCTGTGGCTGCCCCAACCCTGGCAGTGTTCACAGCCAGGTTGGATGAGCCTTGAGCAACCTGCTCTGCTGGGAGGTGTCCCTGCCCAGGGCAGGGCTTGGGGCTGGGTGAGCTCTGAGCTCCATTCCAACTAAAATTCTGTGATTCTATGATTCAACAGGTGCTTTCAACTCAAATACAAAATCTCTCCAGGACACACAGCTTAACATAGAACATCACTTTTTTTTCCTCTGATCTAGGCATTAGTGTAATGTAACCTCTTAGCTAAAAACTGAGGCACAAATAAGGGAATTTATGCCCTTGACATCTCAGAAACTTCACTTGCTCATGTGTTTCCTTTGCCTGCCAGCAGCACCATTGCCTTATAGATCAATGATGTCACCTTACTGAGCACAAAACCAGCAAGAGATGAGTACTTATGATGCTTCACAGCACAGCTGTATCACTATGAGCTGTTTTGGAAGGTTAAGTAATTTGTAAACCCTAAGTGTTCTCACATTTGCACAATTGGTGCCTGTTGAGTGGATTAAAAGGATTAAATACAGCCATAATTTTTGGTGTATCTTGTCAAAATAACTCTGAAGCTGTCTCAAAAAGCCTTTCAAAACTTGCCAAGGGTTTATTCAGTAGAATCAATAAGAGAAACTTAGGCATGTTACTGCAAATGTGTTAGCACAAACAGCAGATAAAGATGGAGGATCAAAATATCCTACTGTGTTAGTCTCAGATTAATACAGAGGTGAGGAATGATTTTCTCCTTCCATCATGCTAATGTTCCACAGCTTTTTTTCTGCAGGGTCAGCAGTGCAGAATCCACATGGAAACATTATTCACACTCTGTGACTGGCACTGCTGAGATGATGAGATGTTGCACACTGAACAACCTGTTCAAACTGCTGCACATCTGCAAACTAGATCTTCCCTGCTTTTTCTCCCAGTTCCCCCCAGAAAAGGACTCAAACTGCTTTAGAGTGGAGCTGTTACTTACTGTGTTTTTCTTAGAGATGGTTTGGTTTGTAGTGGAAAGCCAAAGTGGCAGTAGATGAGCTTCTGTAGTGAAGATATAATCTTCTATGTCAAAAATCATATCTTCCTTATCAGCAAACAGCAGGTAAAGGTATTTAAACATCTCAGCCAGGAAGAATGAGTCCATTCTAGGAGAAAAAGTGGATGTCCTTAACTCCAAAACATCAGCACAATAAATACTCCTACTGCTCCATCTCTGAAGGCTTCATGGCTATTATTGCTGAACATAATTCCATCAGCATTCCTTCCACTTGGAAGGAACTGTGCTTGGAGGGAAATGATTCAGGATGTTCAGTACAAAGCAGCACCATAGGAAAAAAAAACCACAAATAAACCTCCCCAGAAACTTATAGATTGGGAGATTATTCTGTTTGAAAGTAACTCACCTATTGCTCTGAGACAAATGGAATGGTACTGAGATAAAAATACTCTTACAGAACAAAACAACTACCAGGAGTTTATAGGCTGACAAATGGGTGATTAAGGCTTGGTTAGCAAACTGAAGACTCAAAAGTCAACTAGTTCAATTATAGAATCAGAGTAATTGGTTTTTTTTCTATAATCTGTAGATGAAAACAAGGACTGTGAAAGCTCTTACCTGTCTTCATGACTTCCTGTACGAACATCCTTCATTGCAGCAAACCCACAAGGAACTCTGGCATACTTGTTCAGGTTTTCAATGAGTGTTTTTCCTACTTCTAGGTAGTAAGGATCTCCAGTGGCCTAGGACAGACAAACAAAAATCCAAACCCAAACTGAGACTTACTGTGCAATTAGCACTTTCATTCTCCTAATTCTGGTTTACTGAATCACAGAATGTCCTGAGCTGGAAGGACTCGCAAGGACCATCAGTCCAACCCCTGCCCAGGACACCCCAACAATCACCCTGTGCTGAGAGCATTGGCCAAACACCCCTGAGCTCTGTCACCTTGGGGCTGTGACACTGCCCTGGGAGCTGTTCAGTGCCCAAACACTTCTGGGGGAAGAACTTGTCCTGATATCCAACCTAACCCTGTTCAGTGCCCAAACACCTCTGGGGGAAGAACCTTGTCCTGATATCCAACCCAACCCTGTTCAGTGCCCAAACACCTTCATATTAATTCCACATCTTCTTAAACACCAGAAGAGTCTAACTTATCAGGTCCCAAGAGAGACTCCTCAGACACCTCTGCATTTTCTGGATACACAGGTAAGCACAGGAAAGTTCAGGAACACAGGACATTCAGGCACTGCTCTACAAATGGCTTTTGCTCTCAGTCTCTAAGACCTCTTTAAAAGAGACCAGCAACACCTAAATATCTTTGAAGACATGTGTTTGCCACCTATTAGTTCCCTTTCTAACACTGGGGACATAAAACAGAACCCATACAATAATTTTTGATAGCAAACACATCTTATTCATCTACAGAACTGGCTCCAGTAGGTAGATAAGCTGGAGATACCTAACTCATTCTATTCTACAGCGAAATAAAATACCAGCAAAACTCTAGGTGTGAAGACAGAGTGACCCAAAGTCAGAGGAACAAATGTGATTCTTGTACCTTATACAAGAAGTAAGTGCTTTCAGCAAATTCAGGCCTTAGAGGATGCTGAGCCCAGTGGACTCTGAAGTCTGTTGTGAATGCCTGAGGATGAAAAAGGATAAAAATAAATGCAAGAATGAAAACCAAGCTGAGTTTCATTTTGAATCCTGTTAGCTGTGTAACCATCTGAGCTCTGATCAACACCATTTCTGCAAACACACCTAGCCTGGCACCTCCAGTGCACCAAAGTGTCACTGCAGACTCACAGATGGTTTAGCAGCTGTGTCTGAATTAACACCAAAGTCAGGTACCTAAGAATCTCCTGGTCTGAGCACTCACTCTCAATGTGCACTGGGAAAAGACACTTGGTGTGAGATACTCACTACTGGTTCATGCTGAGATTGAAGCTGAGTCTTTGCCAAAGGGGATGGTCTGTTGGCTTAAACACAACTTGCTGACCTTTCAGTTTCCTCCAGAAGTACAAAACACCAACACCCAATCCCAAACCTCCAAGGAACCACAACACACCACTGTAAAGCACTCAAAAACAAAGCCCCAACCAACCAGTCCAGTGCTCAGAGAGCATTCTCTAGTCTCCTAACCACAGGAGGTGAATGGGATGGTAATTAAAATGTTCTCCAACAGAAGTAAGCTTACACCAGAGGAAAGTTAAAATGAAACCTGGACTCAGGAGCTTCCTCATATATTCTGGGTCATCACAGAGTAAAGACACTTCAGCACATGAACAGCTTTTCTGTGCAGAACTCACTTGCACAAGGTCTGCCCTTGTGTTTATGTTCTGACTTTCAAGGACACTGTGCAGGATTTCAGGACGTTCTCTCAGAACATTTTGGGGTGTAGTTTCCATCCTTGGGTTAAGTAAGATGACTGTGATCTTCAGCAATAAGGCTGTTACATTACTAAGCAGCTACCACTGCATGTGATTATACAAGTTTGGCATAATGAAATGAGTCAAGGTCAACTCTGAAAGGCTGAAATATAAAGTCTAAGCAATTGTTAACGGCAGCAGCTTCCCATTACGGTGCTAATTACAGCAGGACTGAAGGAAAACATTCCACCTCCAGAACAGAGCTGTCACACATGAGCTGCAAATCACCTCAGAGTGCTGTGGAAAAGAGCCTTGGGTTTTACTAACACACAGACCTCCTGGTTTTTCAAATGGATATCTGAGGCTGCTCAAATGGAGGTAAAAATCAGTTTACAAGATGAAAAAACTACTCCCTTACCTCTGGAAGAAAGTTATGCTTTTTTATGACCTGATAGAGCATCTCATGAGTTTCAATGGCAGGTCTGATGTCACCCTTCAGCACCTACAATTCAACAGGAAAATCAACACTAATTCACCTTGTACAGGAGCCACATTCAAAGTTCAGCACTCACTGCACTCATGTAAAGCTTCAGAGCAATTACTGCACACTGTAAATATTATGCAAGCCACAGATACTCCCTAAGAGCTTTTCAAGCAGAATCAGTGAACTCACTAGGATTATTGCCTCTGTTGAAAGAGGATCTCAAACATCCAGGGAGAACTAGAGTGGAAATGTGATTTAGTTTGGCACACAAACCAGACAATTCGTCACTAGACTAGGAAAAAGCAGCTCCAGTTGAGTGTTTTCATGGCTAGGAGTGAAGGAAGCAAATCATACACACACACATACTTTTCTGGACAATCAACTTGGCCAGAACTGCATGTTAACTAACATTGAAGTGACACCAAGATTAAGCACAGAAATCATGGAATCACAGGATAGGTTGGGTTGGAAGGGACCTTAAAGCTCATCTCAGGGCAGGGACACCTTCCACTAGCCCAGGCTGCTCAAGCCCCATCCAACTTTGAACACTTCCACAGATCCTCACTCAGTATTTCTGAAAACCAAATTACTGAGCTTGACTTGAAAATTCTCTATCCAGTCCAGTTCATCATTTACTTGTTATCAAACATGGGTTTGACACCTCACCTGCAATCCAGGGAAGAAAGCCAGCAAGGAATCCATCCAGGTCCGAGCATTCAGCATTGGTTTATGGATGTGAACATCAAGAAGAAGAGGTGGTTGGCTGATGTACCTCATTATGGCATCGTAGTGCTGCCAAACACCAGGAGTTTGTATGATCAGCACACGTCCCAAACCAGGTAGGGATCATCAGACTGTGGCATTTTATTTCAATGGAAGAACCAGTGCTACACTGCCAATCCTGAGCACTTAGAACCATGGAATCATCAGGGTTGGGGGAGACCTCTCAGATCATCAAGTCCAACCACTAACCTGTCACTGCTGGAACCCCTAAACCAGATCCTCCAGTGCCACATCAGACACCTCTGAAACACCTCCAGGGATGGTGACTACACCACCTCCCTGGGTGATATCCCAGTGCCTCAACACCCATTGTCCACACTTTTGGCAGTGTCTGTAGTTTCTGGTTTTCCAAACTGAAGAGCAGTAAACACTGCAAAGCTCCACAGTATTATACATGCAAAACTCACCACATGTTCCAAGTAACACATAGAAAAAGTTACATCCAGCAGCCATGGCATAAACAAGGAACCACCAGAGTTAAGGCACATTTGTTTGGGCTGAATTTTCAAGCACACACTGAACAAAGCTGAAATTGCTTTCTCTGAACAAGAGAGATTGAAAGCAAATCAATCTCATAAGAAGAAGGGGAAAAGGAGGTAGAAAAAAACCCAACCAAGCAACTGGATTTGATGGGCCAGAAGTTTAGAACCCACTTGCTGCCTTCCAACCCTCTATCCCAAGGATAACTCCTTCCTTGTTTCTGAAGCACAGCAGCCAAACTGATAGCAAACAGATGCAGTTCAAGGAACATTAACTGTGGTGGCTGCCCATTAGGAACACAAAATCACTACACCTCCAGTGTTAAAACAGGCCTTCAGCTCCTGAACTACTCCAATTTTAATCCAAAATCATGATGTGTGATACCAAATCATTTCACAACCTAAAATGCCTGCAGTGGATATTGCAATTTTCAGAAGAAACAATACTGCTATGAAAGAAGAATGATGCAGACAAAGCTGCTCAGTAATCCTAGGACTTTATAAATCTATGTGTGTTTTTCAGCATGTGAACTTAAATGTCTCCCTAGGATCTGCAGTGCAGTGCAAGATCCAGACTTGGATTTGCAGACCCTTTTGCTGCTCCAGGACAGGAAGAAATGGTACCATGGCTTGTAACAAGAGGCCCTTACATTGCCTTACAGAGACATTTGCATTATCACATTTTGAAGTACAGCTCCTCCTGCACTGGCAGCATGGAAAAATGCCTAGAAGATTCTGCTTTCATTGGATGGGGTTAAAATAGCTGTTCAGGTGACAGCAGAGCACCCAAGATTAGTAAAACTCAGTGAAAAGAGCTGGCACTAGACACATCAGTCAGACATTCTGCTGAAGATCTCTGCACAGGCTAAGAACTGACAACACAATTAGCCTTAAATTTGTATTCCAGAAGGCACAAACCTGAGCAAGGTGTTAACTCACCGTGTTAAATCTTTCCAGGAAGCTGTCATCTCCCAGCAAGACATAGGCTTTTAATAAATATTCATAATAGGAGTCTATTCCTGCTCCAACTCCACTATCTGCACACAGAGAGATTGAAAAGGAGGGTTTCATTTCAGTACACAGATGGGCATTTTCCATCATTTCCCATTTTGAAGACTCTTGCAGGAAAAGGAAAAATCTCCTACATCATGGAATTAAGGCACAGATGGATGCAGACACAATCCTGTATGTGTATGTTAATGGCTTGGCCATCCCAGTGCACATAATAAGGACAGACAAGCACTGAAGCACTTTTCTCACAGGAACTCACTTCCACTGGCTGCCATGGACAACCACAGTTCTACTGTTTTCCTTACGTATTTACAGCAGAAATCTCTGAAAACTCATCCCTCCCAGCACTAAAGTGAATCAGGGAACACTCTGCAATGAGTAAAACCAGTTTCCCCACCAAAACTCCCCTTCAGATCAAGGCCAGACTGTGTTCCAGCACTGGGATGATGTGACCCCACCTGCCTACCAAGCTAATATGTTTGAACAGCTTAAGTTAAGTGTCTTGGGGTTGTGTCAAGATGTTTCCTTCCCCCACCCAGGGGTGGTCCCTGATCCCCACACACCTTTTCTGACCCAGTCTCCAGTGTGAATGTTAATAGTGACACCCACTAAGTTGCTGCTGCGTTGCCTCTTCTCCCAGATAAAATCCAGGGCTTTCCTGGCATATTCCTGCAACACAAAGCAAAGGGAATGTGAGAAACACAGACACTGAAGACTGTTATTCTTTTTTTTTCTATTTAAATTATGGTGTTAGGAAAGGAATAAGCTGTTCCATATCTAGCAATTAGAAACCTCAGCATTGCATACACCTAATTAGCAGAAGGTTCAGCCCACGGTTACATAGTGAGAGGTTGGTGCTTGGCTACACAACTATTTGCCACACTACAGTTAAACATCCTTCTGCATGGCTTTCCTACTCTAAATAATGATGGGATAGTGTAACCTAATTAAAATACTTGCAGAACTGCAACATCCTTAGACCCAAACCACTGTGCTCTTTCAGGCATCCCCAGGTGGAGCAGCAGCCTCTGCTCATTAGTGTCTAAGACACATTGTCCATACACACAAAGTCAACTTGAATTTAACATCTCCTCCACAAAATTGGCTTTAAACACCAAACACATGCATGGGATTTTAGGGGGCCTGGATTGCTTCACCTGGGCTCCACAGCAGGAAATGAAATACCAGGCACATCAGGAAAGATTTAGGAAATTCTAATCTCAAAGAGCTTTGCCTTTTTTTTTTTTTTATTCAGCTCAAGCTTCTGTCAGA